AAAAGTCCAATTTCCGCCACATTGTGAAGAAACATATTGTTCGTGACTCGTGAAAAAACGTTTTTTAGCTCGTGGGATTATATCACTCGCCTTCGGCTCGTGATATAAACCTCCCATTCGCCAAAAGACACTTTTTTGCACTCGTTACGAAATATACTATTCTTGCGTGCACAGAGAATGCAATTTTTTTCGAGCTACTAGATATAAAAACAGCTCAGTCCAAACAGCCTAAACAGCTCAGTTTAGGCTCATTACAAAGGGAAAGAATTGTTCTACATTTCTATTTTTGCGACGAAAATTTTTCATTCCGGCGCACTCTGCACGTTTGGCACAAAAAAATCCTTTTTTTTATTATTGTATTCAAACCGTGACGGTTTATTCTGCAGTAAAAATACAATTATTTTGCATAATATTGTCTACAGGTTGTTTACTTATAAACTTCGGATTTTTCTTAGGATTTTGTTAGGGGAGGGTAGGGTAAAATGGACACTTTAGATTTTTTTTAAATTATTCATAGCTCAGAAACAAATGTATCAATAGAGCTCAGTTTAGGCTCATTACAAAGGGAAAGAATTGTTCTTTGTATTGAAAACAAAATGATGGTTTGAATGATGCTGATGAATTTCATCAACATTTCAACCCGTCACTAATATTTTTAAAAAAAGTCAAAAGTGTCCATTTTACCCCAATCTCCCCTACACTTAGCTACATAGTTAATTTCTTTCGTGAGTTGGACTCGATACATTTCAACGTGAGGGATATAATAATGTACAGGGTTTTTAAATCCTTAGATTAGAAGAATTTAGGAATTCATCTATGATGAGAATAGACTCTGTAGAGAGTGAATAAAAAAACGTTGACATGGTACGGAACAAAAAAATCCTTTTTTGATAATTTTCAAAAAAACTGTTTTCTTGGCGCAAGTGAAACTTGTTTGTGAACTTTGTCGTTTTTCTCTCAGTGTATTCAAATGTTTGACGGGGATGAACAATATTTTGAATTTAAGTTCTCATTTGGCCACAATAAAAACCACTAGCACCGTCTCTGAAAGTTCGTAACACTAAATAAATATCTATTTAGAATATTTACAATGGATGATCTGGGTGAGCAGAGGGCACCTGTTTTAACGTGTAATATTAGTTGGTCGCTGTGGGAGGCTCTCAAGGCGCCTCGTCAGCTCGCGGGACCTTGTCTATTATTTCTGCATCGGTTAGTCCTCGTTATTCTGTGGAGCACGAGGAGAAAAAGCATTTTTCCCACGAGTCGGTAGAATATGCGGTCACTGGGGGGGGGCTTGGGTGGGTCTACGGAGGACAAGTGTCTGGATATTTGTTGCCTTTCATAAAAGTCGTCTCGTTACGTCGTTTCTCCTGGAATTTTGCGGGATTCATTGCGCGTCGCGACTTCGTCTGCATGACGATTTTGAGTTCGGAATGAATATGCAAGGTGCTGATTAGGAAATGGGTTGCAGGGGCATTGTTATGTTGGGAGGAGGGGGTATGCAAATTGCGTTGGGAAAGTTGGCAAATGGAGATTGGAGAGGTGATTTTTTGAGGATATCCTAGTACTTTGGCTGTTTTTGCTACCGAATGGAAGCCTTGCTTTTGACTCATTTTTCGATTTTCTAATTTTTGTTGCAAATGGTCTAGAATGTTGTGAAACGTGAAGAAGAAATGGTGGTTTTAGGGTCGTGTCTGTGTTTATGTATCCGACAACTTGGGTTTTTGGTGATTAATTTTTAGACAATTCAACATAAATACGGTGAAATTTGTAGATAATAATCTGAGATTTTGGCTCATTGCAGCTATTATTGAGCTCAACTTTGGCGCGCGGTTTCAGCCCGATCGGTCCAGCAGTTCCTGAGATATAACAACTTGTTTAAATTTCGTTTTTCCTCAATATCTAAAATTACTGCACCGATTTCAATTTTTTTTTCAAAGTATTCGTCTCGACGGCTTCCATCTAGATCAATCAATATATATATCCGTTCATGATTCCGTTCTATAACAACTCGTTTAAATTTCGTTTTTTCCTCAAATTTAAAAACCTCTAATTCAATTTAACGAAGAAATAATTTCGTAATAAATGAAACATGGGACGACTTTTAAATTTTATTAGAAAGATTTATTCGTTCCTATATAAATATTCCATTACAAAATAAACATGGAAATCAAGAATTGTGAATTGTTAATTAAAATTTATAAATTCGACACGAGTCGCATGCAAGCCTCATGTCAGTAAAATCTCACAAAATAATACCAAGTTAAGAGCTATTTACAAATATTAACAATCTTCGTGAGATTCTCAAGGCAATCGGAGTAATGGACGGAATTTTTTTCTCAGGTTTTTTCACGGATTTCAATAAAAATCCTGAAGACATCTCACGGTGATTCAAGATCTGTACTTCACATTACAGAGATAATTTATCGATAAAAACTATCTCCAAAAATTATTAAGAAAAAATCATGTGCGCTTCATTAAAATTTGGTACCTCACTGAGTGGAATACCTTGAATGCCAAGAGATTGTTGTATGCAAAATTAAATTTTCAGTATATCAATGTAAAATTATCGTCAGACACCTCGTCTTTGTTTCTTCATTTAAAACAAATATTGAAAATACTAAAATGTCGGAATAGATTATGATATGCATTTGGGATTGATAATCCTGGAGGCAGAAAAATATAATTTTCATCATTGTTAACAGATCTAGAAATTCTTACGAACAGAATTCTTTGTAATCTCACCACAATCTTCCTCAATAGATTTTCTCTCATATAAATTTGTACGTAACTTAAAAAGTCAAGTGGTGAGACGAGATGCGTCAATTTCACTTGGAATTTTGTTCTTGTCGAATATCTCTGGAATGAATTAATAGAGAAATTCTTGTCAAGACGTTTTTGTAGATTCAACTTCACTCTAAAAAATTCCATCAAAATGTTGTTTTGTAACTCTCATAAATTGAAAAATTATTGAAAATTTTCATATCTCACTTCTCTGGAGACATGACTATTCAGCAGAATTCAAAAAACTTTTTTTTGTTTTTAGATGAGGGTCAGAGGGTCGTAGGGGTCAACGACAGAATGACATTCCCTTCTAGGCCCTTAATGACATTCGGGGTTAAGGGTCAAACAACCTTGAAGAATGTTTGGAGTTGAGGGTCAAATGGTCTTAAAGGACCAATGACCCTTGAGGGGTGCAGGGTGAAGGGTCAAATAACTCTTCCGATTACTCAGTTCTAATAAAGAATCTGTTTGTTCGACTCCGTAAAATCATTGGACGCTTAATCGTGAACGTTTTTAAGGGAGATTGACCTCCACGACGATTTGACCCTCAATTCCAAATGCTCTTGATGGGCATTTCATCCTTAATTTGACCTTCAGGTACGTCTGACCCTAAACTTTAGAAGTTTAAAGGATTATTTGACCCACAAAACTATTTGACCCTCAACTCCCACCGACCTTGATAGTTATTTCACCCTTAATCTGACCCTCAACTCTAAAAATTTTAAGGATCATTTGACCCTCAAAACTATTTGACCCGCAACTCCAAACGACCTCGAGGGCCAATTTAACCTTTAACCTTGGAGGACCTTCTGAGGGTTAAATTGGCCCTCAAGGTGACCTTAAATTGTGCTGAATACATATTTCTGCTGGTGTTTCTCTACTTCATCTCATCCCACCACTACCCCTTATTCCTCTAAAAAAACGAAGCTATTAGATAGTGGTATGGGTCTTAGGTTCCTCATCAAGCATCCTCTCGTGCCTCTTCTTGTGTCTCCTCGCCTCCACCAAGAACAAAATCCCAGCAGCGAGAAGCAAAACACTTCCAACGACAGCCATAGCGAATGACCAAGAGATATCATTGTGCTCCCAATCGGGCATCCAATCCCTGCCGTCCCCCCTCGCCCCGAAGATGATGCATGCGATGAATCCGCTGATCCCCGAGAGGGTCAAGTTCCCTCCGATCGCCCAGAGGAGCTCCTGGTGACGCGGATGGGAGCGCGAGCAACAGCCGTAGAGAGCCGTTAGGAATCCACCGATCAGCAGTAGAGTCAGGCACAGGGTGAAGAAGAACTGCGTCGCAACGAAGAACTCGGGGAGGAGAATGTCCCTGATGATGTAGTACTCCTCTTCGAAGACCCACCAGCAGCCGGTGAATCTCGTGTCGTACATGTGATGCGTGTCCTGGAAGTCCTGGAGGCAGACCTGCCAGAGACCTGAGGCAAAGGGGGATTCGGTTTTAAGTGAATTTTTGGCGAGAGCTTCGGAAAAAACTACTTTTTAGCGCGATTCAGGCAACTTTTTTCATTTTTAGTGGAGGCTCGGAGGGTTTTGAGAGTCAAATGGCCTTTTAAAACGTTTAGAGTTGAGGGTTAAGTGATTTTGAGGATGAAACGACCCTTAAAAACCTTTGGAGTTGAGGGTCAAACGACCCTGAAAACTGTTGGAGTTGAGGGTTAATTGGTCTTGAAGGTCAAACGATCCTTGAGAAAGTTTAGGATTGAGGATCAAAGGGTTTTGACGGTGAAACGACCCTTACGGAAGTTGGAGTTGAGGGTCAAATGGTTTTGTGGGTCAAATGCCCCTTAAGAACGTTTGGAGTTGAGAGTCAACTGGTTTTGTGGGTCAAATGCCCCTTAAGAACGTTTGGAGTTGAGAGTCAACTGGTTTTGTGGGTCAAATGCCCCTTAAGAACGTTTGGAGTTGAGAGTCAACTGGTTTTGTGGGTCAAATGCCCCTTAAGAACGTTTGGAGTTGAGAGTCAACTGGTTTTGTGGGTCAAATGCCCCTTAAGAACGTTTGGAGTTGAGAGTCAACTGGTTTTGTGGGTCAAATGCCCCTTAAGAACGTTTGGAGTTGAGAGTCAACTGGTTTTGTGGGTCAAATGCCCCTTAAGAACGTTTGGAGTTGAGAGTCAACTGGTTTTGTGGGTCAAATGCCCCTTAAGAACGTTTGGAGTTGAGAGTCAACTGGTTTTGTGGGTCAAATGCCCCTTAAGAACGTTTGGAGTTGAGAGTCAACTGGTTTTGTGGGTCAAATGCCCCTTAAGAACGTTTGGAGTTGAGAGTCAACTGGTTTTGTGGGTCAAATGCCCCTTAAGAACGTTTGGAGTTGAGAGTCAACTGGTTTTGTGGGTCAAATGCCCCTTAAGAACGTTTGGAGTTGAGAGTCAACTGGTTTTGTGGGTCAAATGCCCCTTAAGAACGTTTGGAGTTGAGAGTCAACTGGTTTTGTGGGTCAAATGCCCCTTAAGAACGTTTGGAGTTGAGAGTCAACTGGTTTTGTGGGTCAAATGCCCCTTAAGAACGTTTGGAGTTGAGAGTCAACTGGTTTTGTGGGTCAAATGCCCCTTAAGAACGTTTGGAGTTGAGAGTCAACTGGTTTTGTGGGTCAAATGCCCCTTAAGAACGTTTGGAGTTGAGAGTCAACTGGTTTTGTGGGTCAAATGCCCCTTAAGAACGTTTGGAGTTGAGAGTCAACTGGTTTTGTGGGTCAAATGCCCCTTAAGAACGTTTGGAGTTGAGAGTCAACTGGTTTTGTGGGTCAAATGCCCCTTAAGAACGTTTGGAGTTGAGAGTCAACTGGTTTTGTGGGTCAAATGCCCCTTAAGAACGTTTGGAGTTGAGAGTCAACTGGTTTTGTGGGTCAAATGCCCCTTAAGAACGTTTGGAGTTGAGAGTCAACTGGTTTTGTGGGTCAAATGCCCCTTAAGAACGTTTGGAGTTGAGAGTCAACTGGTTTTGTGGGTCAAATGCCCCTTAAGAACGTTTGGAGTTGAGAGTCAACTGGTTTTGTGGGTCAAATGCCCCTTAAGAACGTTTGGAGTTGAGAGTCAACTGGTTTTGTGGGTCAAATGCCCCTTAAGAACGTTTGGAGTTGAGAGTCAACTGGTTTTGTGGGTCAAATGCCCCTTAAGAACGTTTGGAGTTGAGAGTCAACTGGTTTTGTGGGTCAAATGCCCCTTAAGAACGTTTGGAGTTGAGAGTCAACTGGTTTTGTGGGTCAAATGCCCCTTAAGAACGTTTGGAGTTGAGAGTCAACTGGTTTTGTGGGTCAAATGCCCCTTAAGAACGTTTGGAGTTGAGAGTCAACTGGTTTTGTGGGTCAAATGCCCCTTAAGAACGTTTGGAGTTGAGAGTCAACTGGTTTTGTGGGTCAAATGCCCCTTAAGAACGTTTGGAGTTGAGAGTCAACTGGTTTTGTGGGTCAAATGCCCCTTAAGAACGTTTGGAGTTGAGAGTCAACTGGTTTTGTGGGTCAAATGCCCCTTAAGAACGTTTGGAGTTGAGAGTCAACTGGTTTTGTGGGTCAAATGCCCCTTAAGAACGTTTGGAGTTGAGAGTCAACTGGTTTTGTGGGTCAAATGCCCCTTAAGAACGTTTGGAGTTGAGAGTCAACTGGTTTTGTGGGTCAAATGCCCCTTAAGAACGTTTGGAGTTGAGAGTCAACTGGTTTTGTGGGTCAAATGCCCCTTAAGAACGTTTGGAGTTGAGAGTCAACTGGTTTTGTGGGTCAAATGCCCCTTAAGAACGTTTGGAGTTGAGAGTCAACTGGTTTTGTGGGTCAAATGCCCCTTAAGAACGTTTGGAGTTGAGAGTCAACTGGTTTTGTGGGTCAAATGCCCCTTAAGAACGTTTGGAGTTGAGAGTCAACTGGTTTTGTGGGTCAAATGCCCCTTAAGAACGTTTGGAGTTGAGAGTCAAATGGTGTTGTGGGTCAAATGATCCTTAAGGACGTTTAAAGTTGAGGGTCAAATGGTGTTGAGGTTGAAACGACCCTTAAAGACGTTTCGAGTTGAGGGCCAAACGACCCTGAAAACTCTTGGAGTTGAGGGTCAATTGGTCTTAAAGGTCAAACGACCCTTAAGAAAGTTTAGAATTGAGGGTCAAATGACCCTTAAAGGTCAAACGACCCTTAAGACCGTTTGGAGTTGACGGTCAAAATGTTTTGTGGGTCCAATGACCCTTAAGGACGTTTGAAGTTGAGGGTTAAATGGTTTTGAGGATGAAACGATCCTTAAAGACTTTTGGAGTTGAAGGTCAAACGACCCTGAAGAAAGTTTAATATTATCTAGGATACTCAAGAAAAACTGCGTGACAAATAAAATTGCCTCATCTCGTTTTCAAGAATTCTCCCGCAATTTTGTTTTCACTATTTCGTGGATATCTCGAAAACCACTGGATTTAGAGGAAAAAGTAACAGAAAATTTTTTGTAGCTTAGGAAATTCTCTATGAAAAATATACTTACAAGGATTTTACTGCCTCCCTTAGATTCCGAGATAATTGACAATAATTGACGGTTAAGGATCATTTTATCACTTATCAATTGCTTCAAATAGTGAATTACTTCTTATATTTTCTTTCTTGTGTCTGTTTGTTTACCTATTCTTAAAAATTTTGGATGCGCCAGTCTTCCATCGGTCTCCAGCCAGTTGGGTGTGGTGAACGCAATCATCACGAAAACAAACGCCAGAACTGTGCATATCGCCGCAGCTCTTCCAGTTTTGGTTTTTCCCATTTTTTATTTCAATGAGTTTCAGACACTTTGCACTTTTGAAGAGGCTCTGGGATTGTTTTGCACTTTGTTTTGGTTGTTTTTGCAGGGATTGGGGGACTGGGAGGGTCAACAGATTCTTAATATGTGAAGAATTGTGCGGGTACTAATGCGACAAGTGGGACTTCCTACGGGAATGGTTGCGCTGCGCGCTCTTGACGGCAGAGGGGGTCTTGCAGGTGGTGACTCACGTAGTGGGTGTCACCTGCCCGCTACTCCAGGCGTTTCTTCGAATAGTGAAGCCCTGGATCAAGTGGGAGAATTATTTTTTCAATGGAATTTCACTCCATTGGAAATGAAACATTTCGTCTACTACGAAATTCCTCAGTTCTTCAGTAAAATCGATGAAAAACTAATAGAATTTTCAACAGAAGTTTAATAGAATTTCAATATCAGTAGTGAAGCGGTAAACCGAGTCGAGTCGATTATGACTATTGGCCAGTTTTTGCTGAATATCTCGGAATCTAAGAGAGATAGCAAAATTTTTCTCATGACTTTTTTTATAACACTATTGGCTCTACAAAAAAGGTCATGACAAAAATCTTTCTATCTCTTTTAGATTCCGAGATATTCGTCAAAAACTAGCCAATAGTAAAAAACGACTTAACCCAGTTTACCGCTTCGCTACTGATATGCTCTTGCGGGTTTTTGCGATGAAAAATTTTCATCTCAGGTTACTCTTCAAATATTCAGCACGAAATATTTAGTATGATTTAACTGTTTGTTTCAGTGTGGTACGAACCAACAGACGTGAAAAAAGCCTGCAAAATATTCGACGCTCACTCTGAGTGGAAGAAGATCCTCCACTTCGTCACTCCAAACGTCAAAGAACTCTTCGCAATGGCTGAGTATTTTTCGATAAAGAAAATGGATCATATTTCTCCGGATGGAGCCAGGGAATTGATCACTGATGTCGCTGAAAAATTAGCTGAGTACATTCCGGTTGTTGTTGCAACAATGGGGGCTGAAGGAGTTCTGGTGAGAACATTATTTCCTACTGAAAATATCTACTCCAACTCAATTACAAAATTCATCATTTCGTTTTATATGAAATTCATTCTCTATTAACCTGAGATAAATTTACAATTTCTCATCTCCAAAATTGGTCATTAATTTTTTTTATATCAATTATCTCCACAGATTGTTCGAAGAGGATCAAAATCCGATGTTTTCTACTCCAAAAACAACAACAAATTATTACTATTGGAGAATGGAGGAATCCAGAGTAGACTCTACTCCCCAACGCCAAAAATTAAGGAACACTCGAGGGAAAGTAAATACAGTGTGAGTGGCTGTGGAGATTGTTTAGCTGCTGGAATAATCTCCGGAATTCTGCGAGGATTCACCGAAGAATCCTGCGTATCTCTGGGGCTCAAAGCTGCTCGCCTATCCCTAGAATCCACTCAGACAGTCCCCACTTCCCTCAGAACCTTACACTGAGAGAAAAACGACAAAGTTCTCAAACAAGTCTTACTTGTGCCGAGAAAACGTTTTGTGAAAATTATAAAAAAAGGATTTTTTTGTGCCAAACATGCAGAGCGTGCGCCGGAATGAAAAATTTTTGTCGTAAAAATAGATTTAGTAGTTAAAAAAAATTGTATTCTCTGCACACGCAAGAAATGTTATTTCTAGCACTACTCCTTCGTTATTCGATACTCCCATACGTATTTTGCTCCCGAAAAATCTTTGTTTTATGCGAAAAAAGGGATAGTAGTTTGTCGTTTCGACTGTCTAATAATCACAGACAACAAATGAACCCTTAAATTAAATAATAATAATGATATGATTGCAATCTTGTAAATTAGGGATAAAATATTTGTTGATAAATTTTCCTCTATATGAGATATTTTCATCCTGAAGAGGCACCGTCTGGTGTGAATTATCCGCCTGTTGAGCCAAATATTTCGTTGCTGTCGAAAGTAGAGCAATTATTCATGTTTGAGACTTTCAAATTCGACCCAAACAAATTCTTTTTTGGCAATTTTCAACGAGCGATTTTGTTGGCCCAAACAAAACTTGTTTGACAACGTGGTTGTTTTTCTCTCAGTGTACGATGAGATAAAGGTAAGAGTATTTTTCTAAAAAATCATTACACGAGGAATTAACGAAAATAAAGTGCTTTTTTATTTTTGATTTTGCAATAAGTAACAAGCGCCATTACTACACCGTGTTTAGAGAGAACAAGTTGTGAATGAAGTGGAGTAAAATATTTTGTGAGCTATTTCTTCGATTTCTTGGGGAGTTTCTCGGCTGTCTCCTTCTTCTTCTTGTTCACGATTTTCCCGTCGAATTTCTTCACGTAAGCTTTCACGTCGAATTTCCTCTCACACCCTTTGTAGTTCATGTAACGAATCTTTCCGAATACCTCACGTTCCCTCCATCCCTGATCGTGGATTCCACAAATTGACCACATGCATCCTAGGGAGATAATTGGAGAATATTCAGAGAACTGCTTAATTGTAATTTTGGCAGTATTCCAACCAAATTTTTTTTCACATTTCCTTCTGAAATTCCTCATCAACGAGATCATTCAAGTATTAATAATCCAAAATGATCTTTGTGCAGATCGAAAATAATTGATTTTAATTATCAAATTATGTTAAAAATTCGTGCTGTTAGAGTAAAATAGAAAAAAAAATTTTGTAGAGCAAATTCCTACAAAAATTCCCATTCGTTACTTTCTCAATACCACTCACCACATCGAAATCATAATTGTCCAAATGAATCATAATTGTCCAGATCATTTCAGTAGTGAAGCGGTAAACCGAGTCAAGTCGATTTTGACTATTAGCCAGTTTTTGCTGAATATCTCGGAATCTAAGAGAGATAGCAAAATTTTTCTCACGACTTTTTTTATAACGCTCTATTGGCTCTACAAAAAAGGTAATGACAAAAATTTTTCTATCTCTTTTAGATTCCGAGATATTCGTCAAAAACTAGCCAATAGTAAAAAACGACTTAACCCGGTTTACCGCTTCGCTACTGATTTAGATCAGAGGAAAATAGAATAATTCTACTCTCTTAATATTGCGTTTACTAAGGCTTTCTTCGAACAAAGTTGATTAGAATTAATAGCTAGAATTATGAGATTATCTCACATTTTTGACGTTAAGGATAGGAGAATCTGAATGCAATATAGTGAAAATGATGATCGATGTTTTCACTTTGAACAAATAATGTTAATATCCAAATACAAAATTTCGGATATGAATAAAAAGAAGCTGTGACTCAATATTCCAAATGAAGTTTTAATTTTTCATTTGGTGCTGACAAACACGAGATGACAATATTCTAAGCACGGAATTATATTGATGAGATGAACAACAGATTAACTGAATTACCGTGTGAACTAACTAAAAATTGATAACAGTGTGGACACGTACTTTTACCAGAGTATCAACAAACATTGAGTTCCAGAAATTCACACTCTAAAGTGTGTTCCAGAAGGAATTGAATTGTGTTTATGATTAAAATCTTATCCAGTGATTAAAATCTTATTAAAATTTAACAGCTGTTAAATTGGGACATATGATTCCCATCGGTCGTATTGCTTTTTTCAATGAGAAACTGAGTCTTTTTGGGAAAAAGCCCTGAACTCCTAAAGTCATTATCCATAATGATAATCGCAACTTTCGGCAAATTGAATAATTCAACTTTTGAAATTTCATTGTTGGATGTTTGATCTTGATGGGAGGAGACACTCACCAACGTAACCGTTAGGATCCCTGCCATCCATGCTGTACTTGTCGTTGAGGTAGATTGACCAGGCGAGAGCATCCTCTGGCGTTGGACTCCATTCCAGAATTTTCTTCGCCCAATACATCCTCATGAATCCATGAATTTTTCCATCCCTCACCAGCTGATTCTGGGCTGCATTCCACAAGTCCTCGTGCGTCTGTGACTTCTCGAATTCCTCTAGTGTATAAACCCACTCCCTTTTATCTTTCCTAGAACCATTACGAAAAATCTCATTGACATTTTCATTAATTTTGCAATTATTGACTAGTGGTTTTAGGGGGAAATGCTGAGGGAATTTTCTGTAGTTTATATAATTGTCAACGAAAGATGTCTTTCAACATTTCTTCCCCAACTCAATCATTCTAGAGGTAATTTCACATTTACCAATATGTGAAAAAAAGGTTTTTTTAAATTACGAAATTTTGAATGTCATTGAAAATTCCGGAATTCAAGAAATTCAAGATTGATAAGAATTCAACTTATTTGAATTCCTAATCTCTGTCGCTGAGTCATCAATTAGTTGAACAATTCAAGAATATATTTACCTGGAATAATTGACTTGAAATTCAATAATATATTCAAGAACAAAATATTGAAATAGAATGAAGTTCAAGAAAATACTGTTACGAAACAATTCAACTAAAATGTACAGTTTTCATTGATTTCTCCATCAAATTGTGAATTTTTCCCCAAAACTCCAGTGCAACTGACACTCAATAAACATTTTTAATATTATAATGAGTGGTAAAAAAAACTGTTAGAAAACGTCTTCTACACTAATCCCATCTCCAAATTCACGATAAAAAAATTACCTATGTGCATTGAGCGATTGAATGGCCCAGGCATTGGCTCCCTCGATCTTATCATAATTCTCATTGTAGAAGCAGAAATTCTCGCTCAATTCCCTCCTAACAACGGCCTCCTCTATGAACGAATTGACTGAGGCCTGGTAGTTCTTCTGGTACTCTTGAACCTCCAAAATAACTCTAGCCACAGAAATCTGTCCAAAGTGGAACCAAGGGGAGAGTCCACTGGTGGCGTCCTGCACAGGATCATTTCTCTTCTCGTTGTAGTTCTTCAGACGTTCGGTTATGAAAGTCTCGAGCTGTCCCACAGCTCCTCGGTACCCAGGCTTGCACCACTCCACCTTATCCACTGTCTTATCGATTAGAACCTCATTCAGACTATTTTTCCAATCAATCTTTGGGAACTCGAAGTCACTGTCGTGGGGGTGCTTTATCACTGGGGGGAACTCTGTCAGGTACTCTGGTAGTTTCGAGTTTATTTTGGATCTGATTGTGCGAGCTGCGTACTCTAGTTTGTCGGAGGCCTGCCAGCAGGGGACGATATTGTGGGCATCAACCTTTAAACAGGAAAAATGGCAATTCACGCAAAAAAAATTTTTTTTCTCAACTTTTGTCTATTAACTTCTTTTATTATTGGGATCACTGGTGAGAATAATAATTTTCTGTTCGGTAGAAAAGACCATGCACTGAGAGAAAACCAAACACGTTGTCAAACAAGTCCTGTTTGGGCCGACACAATCGCTAGTTAAAAATTGCCAAAAAAGAATTTGTTTGGTTCGAATTTGAAAGTCTCAGACATGAATAATTGCTCTGCTTTCGACAGCAACGAAATATTTGGCTCAAGAGGCGGATAATTCACACCAGACGGTGCCTTTTCAGGATGAAAATATCTCATATAGAGGAAAATTCATCAACAAATATTTTATCCCTCAGTTACAAGATTGCTATCATATCATTATTATTGTTTCATTTGAGGGTTCATTTGTTGTCTGTGATTATTAGACAGCCGAAACGAAAAATTACTATCCCATGTTTCGCATAAAACAATGATTTTTCGGGAGCAAAATACGTATGGGAGTATCGAATAACGAAGGAGTAATGCTAAAAATGACATTTCTTGTGTGTACAGAGAATGCAATTTTTTTGCATGTTTGGCACAAAAAATTATTTTTTGATAATTTTCAAAAAACTATTTTCTCGGCACAAGTAAGACTTGTTTGAGAACTTTGTCGTTTTTCTCTCAGTGTGCGGCGCGAAAAAATCACTGATATTGGATTTACCTGACAGAGTGGAACATCCTCAGGTAATTTCTTTCCAATATCCTCCACCCAAAACCTGGGCAGTCTCAGTGGAAAGAAATCAATGACAAGAGCTCCTATATTGTACTTCTTAACAAAATCCAGGACGACTGAGTTGGGCTCTCCCAGGAGGAGATGGAAATTGATATTCAACTCCTTGCAATCGTTGGAGACCTCCTCCAAGGACTCAACGAGGAATTTGTAATGACGCAACGTGGCGTCCAGGAATTTTGGTAAGATGCAGTAGCAGACGTGCAGGGGGAGGCGATTTTTCAAGGCCAGCTTTTGTGCGTAGAGGAGAGCCCAGTTGTCTAATCAAAAAAATTAATTATGAACAGGGATCGGCGTCGATCATTAGATCCCAGAAAACAATTTTTGCCAGTGCCATCTAAAATTTAACAGGACATCGGCAATTTGTCGACAAATTGTCGACATACTGTTTGCTGGGATTATTAATATTAAGAGAAGTTGCACTTTAAAATAATTAATGTTCACTCATCTCCATTGAAATTTGAAAAATAACAAAATAATTATTTTTTCAAATTTAAGCTTCAAATCAATAAATTCATAATCTAAATTTTCAGTTAACTATGAATTAAATAATTAACAATATAGAATTGTCAATGGACTATTGCGCAAATAATTATAAATTTCATAAAAGAATTTTCGATCTGCCAAATAATCGTCAGTCTTCGGAACTCAATTATTGATTGATAACATAATTCTAAATGTGAATATTTAATTGATGATTAAGCCCCGGGTGGATTAGTACTCTATAAAAATTATTTTATCTTTTCTCTTCTTCAGATTTTGAAATATTTAGCGAAAACCAATCCCTGAATGGAGCTGATTCATCTAATCAACACCTCAATTAATTAATTGTAATTAATTAATTGTAATTAATTGAGGTGCTTGAGGTGTTGATTGAACAATCAACAATATTTTATATTCTACCTTGAACTCTTGGATCCCTGAACATCCAATACAAGATTCCTTTAGAATTCTTCACAACTTCCTTAGCATTCGACAAAACCCTTATTCGTTTTTTATTCATCGGAAAATCCATTATCGAATCAGCAGTCTGAAACCACAAGTTTAATCAGGGGAGGATGGGGTAAAATGGACACTGGACTTTTTTCTAATTACTCATAACTCAGAAACAAATTTATCAATTGAGCTCAGTTTAGGCTCATTACAAACGAAAAGAAATGTTCTTTGCACTGAAAAAAAAAATTATTGAATTTCGTCAACATTTCAAGTTGCCAGTAACATTTTTAAAAACGTCAAAAGTGTCCGTTTTACCCCAACTTCCCCTACACCCTCACAGTCTCCAGGTAAAATCAAGACATGGGAATGTCCTTGAAACACTATTGCACCAAAAACAGTGAAATAATTCCCCTGAAGTACCTTTCTACGATTCTCGATGAACTTCTCAAATAATCCCAGAGTTTTTGCCTTCTTCTTCGGTGGTTCCATCTCTTGTAATTTGTTCTTCCTGTTTATAATGTTCAGAATAGTCACAACAAAGATCAAAACATCAGGAAGTCGAATTATTTTTGGGTGATTAGTGGCTGTTTATCACAATTTGAGGGGCTTTGGAGGGCCTTGAGGGCAGGATTATCAGTAGAATTATGAATAATAGGATCTTCGATTCATGTTGATCAATTTTACGATCGGATTGGTGTTTATTTTGGTGAAATACAAGTGTCAGAACACGCGGAACATTTCACACGGCTGGAATAACCACCGCGCAGCTTTGTCGCGCATATTCAAAATGGCGATCGGCCACGCACAGTCAACAGAGGAATTGTCGTTCGTGCGAGTCATTTTGTGGAAAAATGAGGGTAAAATCGTCGGAATAATGACAAATAACATGACAATCAGTTGATAATAACGGAGAACAATGATTTGATGATGTAATTGTCGTTTATTCCGATGTATTACGAGTGTTAGAGTAATGTAAAGGATCACCCGGCGAGAATCACTGGCGCCTGCGCATAGACGAAGGGGAGGGTGGAGTAATGTGGACATCAGATTCAAATAATGAGTTGAATTCGATCAAATCTACTGTTCCGACTTCATTGAAGTTTGTAAAAACGAGCTCATTGTCGTAAGACTGCGTCGTAGGAGTTGTAAGGTAAAGCAAAAACGGGGTAAAATGGACAGTTCGATTTCTTCCTCAATTTTTTATGTTTCAACAATGTTATTCAATTTCTGAAACTCTAGTTTGACTGCGATTTTCACATTGAAAATGAAACTCATTTTTGAGGTTTGTTGTGGGGGGTGGTAAACCAAATTTTTTTTGCTCATTTATCCTCCCCTCCTCCTATTGTTTTATGGTGATTTCCTTTGTATGTGGAAAAGTAGCCATCTTACAAATTTCGCAAATGGACAAAAGGTCAGTTGTGTAGGGCGTGCAAAAACGGGGTAAAATGGACAGTTCGATTTCTTCCTCAATTTTTTATGTTTCAACAATGTTATTCAATTTCTGAAACTCTAGTTTGACTGCGATTTTCACATTGAAAATGAAACTGATTTTTGAGGTTTGTTGTGGGGGGTGGTAAACCAAATTTTTCTTTGCTCATTTATCCTCCCCTCCTCCTATTGTTTTATGGTGATTTCCTTTGTATGTGGAAAAGTAGCCATCTTACAAATTTCGCAAATGGACAAAAGGTCAGTTGTGTAGGGCGTGCAATTGTTCATTGAAAAAAATTAATAATTTCAAAGTTATTTCAATAGTAAAACAGGTAATCCAAAGCTACTCTGTATTTCAAACTTCAATGCAACATTTAATAGAGTTGAAGTTTATTTGTTAATATCTCCTCCAACTCTAATTTCTCTCTGTAAAAAGATAGCAACACGATTCTGTTGGAAAATGTCTGTTGAAAATTTTCTTGATTAAAAGTTGAATGAGACCAACTTTTTCGGGTGTCCATTTTACCCCACTCTTGAATAATTTTTCGATTGTGGACTTTGCCAAGAAGCAATTTTTTAATTCACTTATTGAAAATTTTTTGAACGTCCATTTTAGTCCACCCTATACGGATTTATCAGGTGTCCATATTGCCCAATGAACCAATTTTTCAAAATTCTAATTTTGAAAAAAAAAAATTGCAAATTTTTTGAGTGTAAATTTTCACGTTTCACCCGGCGAAAATTGTGTGTCTCCTGCATGACCGACATCTTTGTGACGTCACAAGATGGCGCGTGCTGAGTGATTCCGAACGGAAGACGAGTTTTCCAGAATTTTATCGGTTTATAAATTTTATGATTAAACAAAAAAGTGATTGAAGTGTGACCTGAGTGACAGCAATGAACACGAGGGATTTTAATCGAGATCATCGCGTTATGACAATAACTTTGACGTTCCAAAGTGTTTTCGGTGTTTCGTTAATGCCGACATGAGTGCAAACAACACAAGATGGCGTTCGATAGATGATTTTAGAGTCGCGGATGTTGCTCCTTTTTCTGGGAAACTCAGGGTTAGAAACTAGTGGGGCAAAGAGGACACTTTTGAATTTTTCCGATGTCTTAATGAGTCGTTAAATTTCGGATGAGATGCGATTATTTTTTCGGATAACCAAGTTTAATTGATCACTTTATTTATTATTATTATTATTATTATTATTATTATTAATTATTTATTATTTTTTTCTGAGGTATAAACATCGAAAAAAAAATCAAATGTGTCCATTTTGCTTTCCCTATTTAATTTTGAAAGTGGGGAGTGAGGGGTGAGTAAGTGAACTCGGGTTTATTTTTAATTACATGATAAAATTCGTTGAACTTTTCGTTGACAATCTTGACTGAAGTGTAGAAAAGTGATGATAACGAAGTGCTATCATGATATTTTTGTTTGACTCTTCCCAAAGTGATTTCATGATAGAAATAGAGTGTGTGAAAAGTGCTGAGGACCCTGACCAAGAGAAAATCGAGCCAGCTTCGGATTGCATTGGACTCCAGTTCGAGCTACATCTCTACTCGGTGAGTCACTTGATTTTTTAATAAAGAATTTCCGTAATGAGGGGAAAATCTCAGTATCGGACTTGGTGTCAATCTCCGATTTTTATTCTACGAAAAGCTATGCCTATACCTGCCATAACTCCCTCGCCATAAAGAGTTGCAGTGTACACTGAGAGAAAAACGACAAAGTTCTCAAACAAGTCTTACTTGTGCCCAGAAAATAGTTTTTTTAAAATTAAAAAAAAAAATTTTTTTGTGCAAGACATGCAGAGAGTGCGCTGGAATGAAAAATTTTTGTCGTAAAAATAGATTTAATAGTTCAAAAAAAATTGCATTCTCTGTAGACGCAAGAAATGTCATTTTCATCACGCTGTGACGAAAAGTGACCTTTCGGCACGCTCCGCGTGCCTAAAAGTCCAATTTCCGCCACATTGTGATGAAAAATATTGTTCGTAACTCGTGAAAAAATGTTTTTTAGCTCGTGGGATTATATCACTCGCCTTCGGCTCGTGATATAAACCACTTTTTTGCACTCGTTACGAAATATACTATTCTAGCACTACTCCTTCGTTATTCGATGCTCCCATACGTATTTTGCTCCCGAAAAATCTTCGTTATTCGCCTCTTGAGCCAAATATTTCGTTGCTGTCGAAAGCAGAACAATTATTCATCTTTGAGACTTTCAAATTCGAACCAAACAAATTCTTTTTTGGCAATTTTCAACTAGCGATTTTGTTTGGCAACGTGTTTGTTTTTCTCTCAGTGTAGCGATTCTCGCCGCAGCATTCAACCTCGCGGATTCAGGCAGAATTTCTACTAGGGTCCCTCCACGACTGAATGAACCCCCGAAAAAAAAAATTCCCTCCGTTTTACTTTCTAAATAAACGTGATGGCCTTTTAAACCGCATAATACCACCTGAAACCATAGAACAAAGAATCTTTCATGCGTTTCGTGCTACCGTGATACACGATCATCGCTCGGTGTCAAATTCTGCCCAATTTGCGGTTCCCTGAGAGCCCCAGGATCCACTCCAACCACACGAGCAAAAAACCCAGAGGAACACGCATCAGTTTTCGAGAAAAAAAAAAGAAAAATGAAATTGACGTAATTTAGAATTGATTGAGTCACTCGGACATACGAATGGATTCCATTCATTGGAATTCTCAGTGTGAAAGTGTCGTTAATCGTCTGTACTGGGGACTTGGCCTAGGCTCGAGTGAATCCGCGTGACATAGAACTGGAAACAAGCGCGGTTTTAATATTCAACGATGATGAAAATAACGATTTGATTGTGGTGTGTTATGAAACACCAAAGCCATTGCAATATACGCTGAGGGAGAAGATAAGGTGGGGCTTTACACAACAGTTGGAGTTTAAGCGATAAAAGTGTCGTTTGGGTATTTCAAAGGCCTTTTGACGAGAGATGAAATGAAATATGTTGAAGAAGTTTCGATTATTCTATTGGGTTTCAAGGCTTATTTGGCCGGGGAATTTCATTATGTGGAATTTCATTAATTCGCTATTTGAGAATTCATTTTTTTTGGGATTTCGATGTTGAAGTTAAAAGGTACCAGATAAATAATTTATTTGATGTCCGTAAACTTCATTCAAATCAAATGAATATTTTTGAAAAATGTAAGTAAATGTTTCCCTGATCCAAATTCGAGCCTCAAAAAACATTCATATCTTGTCTGACATCTCTGTTATGAACTCTGATTTTGAACTATGGCTTCATCAAATGTCGAAAACTTTTCTGACGTGTGAAAAATTGTTTTCGAGCCGAGTGACGAATATAATTTCTTTTCACAATGTCCGTTAACGTTAATATCCGTTATTCGATGGACACGAATTGTCGCGGACAGTGTGATGTAAAAATATTAAAATTATTTCTCTCAACACATTCACTCATTCGTGGACGAATGACAAAAAAATCTCAACAAATTCACCTCTGAATTAAGGGGAGACTACTATGAGTTTTAAAAGTCGTGGGTTCTTAGATCTGAAAACGAATAATTAGTGCAAGAAATTTTTTTTTCTATTGTTCGTTTGCCCGAAAACGCTTAAAATTCCAAAAACAGTCCAGGGCCTCCAATTTTTGAGCTACGAAGGATTTCTTTTTTTCAAAAATTTCGGAAAAATATGTGGAATAACAAGTATGAGCTAATTTTTTTAAATTTGCCTCTTACATGGCTAAATTTGTTTTTTTTGTATTTTTTTACACAAATAGTGAATTATTTGATATGAAAAAAACCGAAGTCAGCTGTGTAGGAGTCGAATTCCAAAAAACTGGCTTGTAATTGTTGTTCCACACATTTTTCTGAAAATTTTGAAGAAAAAAAACCTTTTGTAGCTCAAAAATTGGAGGCCCTGGGCTGTTTTTAGCATTTTAAGCGTTTTCGGGCAAACGAACAATAGAAAAAAAAATTTCTTGCATTAATTATTCGTTTTCAGATCTAAGAAGCCACGACTTTTAAAACTCATCGTAGTCTCCCCTTAAATGAAATACGTAATGCATTTCGATAACATCAACAAATCTTGCGTGAAAACTAGTTTTAGATGACTTCCGGCGTGTTTCCGGAACCAATGTCGGTGCGTCCGCGAGAAAGTTTGTGATCCAACGAAACTCCGTGCGGAAGACTTAGAAAGTTTTTTTTATTCTTCACTCCTTCTCCGCCCCTCCCCGCGCCGCCTTACCTCCCTCATTTGGTTTCCTTTCTCAAACGAAAAACCGGTATACAAAACGCGGGTGCGAGCGGACACGGCTTTGGCAAATGTCGGT